GTGTTGCTGCAAATGAGTTGTTGAGGAAGCATGCCATGAGGTCGAAGTTAGAGTCCACCCAACTTTTGTTACCAGTTAGTGGTCGTGTGATTTCTAGTGGAAATGTTGAGGATCAATCTATTCATACCAGTTTGCTTCAGTCTGATTCTCAGGAATCTAAGCTGCCCCACTGGGTGTGGGCTTCAAATGTGGCAATCTATTCAGATGAAGGGGTAAAGGCAAGTAGGGAAGTGAATCCTGTATCTTCATGGGGTTGGAATGAAGAGAATACGGTCAATGACAATTCGTCTTTCTCGTGTTCTAAATTGTGTTCGTTGCTCGAATTGCCATTGACACTCCCGAGAAGACTGACTATTCCCATAGTTGAGGATGAACGGTGGTCAAAGACTTATGCCGTGGCCAGTGCCTCCTTTGCACCCGTGCTTTTGGCTTTCCTTTGGAACACTCAAGATAATCTGGGCAATCTAGCTAATGGTATTGCGTATCTTATTGGTGTTCTATCAGGTACCATTTTCGGTGTTCTTGCTTTTATATATACCAGAGCTGATCATCCACCTCGGAGATTCTTAATTCCATGGGTTATGGGAGGATTCCTTATGAGCATTATCTGGTTCTACATTATCGCAAATGAGCTTGTGGCACTTCTAATGGCATTTGGTGTTATATTTGGAATCAAGCCGTCACTGCTGGCATTGACTGTCTTGGCATGGGGCAACTCGATGGGTGATTTGATGTCAAATGTTGCAATTGCGATGAATGGTGGGGATGGCGTGCAGATTGCAATTTCGGGATGCTTTGCTGGGCCTATGTTCAACACACTGGTTGGTTTAGGTCTCTCTTTGGTGCTTGGAGCTTGGTCCAGCAAACCACTGTCTTACATAGTTCCAAGAGATATTAGCTTGTATTGTACTTTAGGTTTTCTTGTTTTAGGGCTTGTTTGGTCACTAATCGTGTTACCACGAAGCAACATGTACCCTAATAAATTGTTGGGAGTCGGCCTAATGATCATCTACTTGAGCTTTCTCGCTTGCAGGGCAAGCCTTGCCATGGGGGATGGATCGCTTCATGTTTCAAGTTGACTTCTGTAATGGTCAGTCTAGGAAGATGTGTAGAGCTAGATAAGCGACGAACTTGGCCGATGGAACATAGTGATTATGTCAGTCTTTTTAGTTTGATGACCACGAAAAACCTTGTACAGTTGTTTATATATACAATAGTTGAGTGCAACATTTCAAATTGTCTTCAACAAATGAATATGAAACCAACTTTTGCATTCACTTGCTTGCTTGTTGATCATTTTTTTCTGGGAGAAGAACTCGAGTGCACGTTGCGTGTGCAGTGTAGAAGTCTCGGACAATACCAGGTTTATCGAACAAAAACAGGGTTATAAGATTTTGTTTTCCCGGTGATGGAAATGATCTTGCGAAGCTGAAGCACTTAACGTAATTTCAAGAATGCGATCTCAGCCAAGGATGAAGGTCTCCTACTTCTGCATTCGTTTACTCTTCTGCTTCTTCTCTAAATTCTATCAATATCTCGAAGCACAGCAATTCAGACTCGAATCTTTTACTTCCAAATCGTCCTCAGAAAACCCATCTCTGTAGTCAATTAACACACCGCCGATCACAAGCAAACTCTGCCAGAATCTGTGTTTCAGAGTTAACTCGGCAATTGGACACTTGATCATGCTGAGCATCATGTCGTATAACTGCGGCAGTGACTCGGCAGCAGACGATGTTAATACTTGTTCTTCTTCTTGATTTCGTGTGATTATTTCATGTTTTGATCCACTAATTCATTGCTCATACATCCTTATTTCAATTTTATTGAACTCTAATACAACTGTGGAGTATAGCAGCCTGCTTTGCACCTTGATATCGGGCTCAGAATGGTCAATCAACACCACAATAAGAAAACCCAAGCCAAGAACCTCAAGCCAAACGGTTGCTCTATGTTTCTGCCCACAAAGGAAACTTAGGATGAAGATTATTATAGCCACAAGTTAGCCACAAAGGCAAAAGGGAGGAGGAAGAAATAATAGCACACAGCCACGTCCAAGGAGCACAAAGCCAAGACCGCCGATTTTTTTCTCAAAGAAAGACTATGAATAATTCTCTCACCAACAACAGTAACGAGCATGGGATATGTATAAGGATTGGATATGATTTTAGATTAAGCCCAATAAGAAATGATAAGGCCCAAATAGGAGCAGTAAGTGGGCTATCAACATATAAGAGCCCTCCAAGTGTGGGTTGGGCCATGAGCAGCACTAATTAAAAGGGAAAAATTCACGGGTCAGGTATTATCTTTCACAAAATCACAAATCAGGCCCGATGGTTTAGATTTTCAAAACTCAGGTTTTTCCACGATTTAATTAATTATATTTAACAACTAAGCTAATAATATTCTTTCCTTAATTTAAGCGTACAGTTAAAATTTCCTAATATAACAAAACACCTCCCTAATTACAAATTCTGTTTCATCCCCAGACTGATTCTAATCCTGGACAAAATTGACGGCATATTAGACGAGATATTCGGTCACAAGTCAGATTCCGTCGTCGCCGATCACATAATTTCATATGGTGGACTACCGGTCACAGTTCGGAGGTGGTAATCTCCAGATACAGTACAATTCTGTTCGTAGTGTTGGAGTGGATTGGAGTTCAGGTCACAATTTCCATTGCTGGTGCCGAACATACACATTGCAATTGTGGAGGACATGGTCACAATCATAGAAGATGTAGTAGCTTGGTTCCATTAAGTCAAACTTAGACCGTAGACATAACAATTTTAGATAATCTTTTACATTCCGTTAATTTGTTCCAGCTATCAATTGATATGTAAACAATGATTGTAATCAAATGAAATTTTTGCTGTAATGCAAGGAAAATGGGTTAAGTGGAAAATGTGACTTAAAGAATTGTTAAAGAACTTGTATTTGTTGTCTGTGACTCCTGTATATACAGGGCAAATGTTTCCAGTGAAG